CGCCAGATGACTATCGCCATTAAATTCGCCCCTCCGCCACAGGCGCAACAGACTGCCGCCAAACCACCTGTGATATCCGGTAACCCCATCCGTGGCACTGTACATTGCTTCGATGTTGTACCTTGTCAGATAGCACAGGTGCACACTCGTTAACTTGACAAGGAATGTTCGGGGTACACCTTTGGGTACAGTCAAATTTGACGATACCATTGACGTTAAAATTACGGAAAAAACAGAAGTGTGCAAAGTTGGACCCGCCCTAAGAATAGTCCTGTGCAACAGCCCGCTATAGCTCGGCTCCTATTTGCTCTCATCTCATTCCAAGCAAGCAGCAGCATTGAGGACGAATGAACGAGCACGCATGTTGTTAGGATCTTCTCAAATACGTAGTATGCGTAGGGCTGGTAAAGGAAGGGTGCTGAAGAGAAGATAGTTCATCACGTCACGATACACAGTCGGAATCATCCAAAACATGATCAGTCACGGACTGACAAAGCAGCAGTACCGTAAAGTGCGTGACAATCCACAGTAAATCGCGCTAGCTAGGCACGTGTTACCCCGTGGCTTCCTTAGGAGATACCGTTCCGCGCGCGTGGATAGCAGAACCTCGGGATTCGGGAAATGCAGAACTGCTCTCCCTCTCTTTTCCTAATCCGCATTGGCGCTCATGAAGCGAAGTCATCATTTTTCACACGCGCATACCAGTCGCATAGAACTTTCACGGAAAGTGGCGTGTACAACGCTAAGGACGCATAAACTTATAGCCCTTCGTCACGCTGGCTCGTTCCGATATCGGTAAGCTGCGTAGTAAGCACTAAGTAGCCACGCGCTTTCTCTGAGTACTGCCAGTGGTACGCTCGCATAAGCTTGCTGCGCAAGATGGGCGACAATGCCAATGTTCGTTCGGCTTTCTCGAGAGTCCTTCGCAATGCTGGCGCTTTAAGCACTGCTCCTCCTCCTTGCGTGACGACTATAAGACAGCCAATGCAACGCATCCTCAAGGGACCCATCCCCCTCGATGGCCCATGTTCATGGACATGGCTTTTTGAGGCGCCTCAAAAATTGATTCGAGGCGCCTCAAAGATAGCCCAGATTCATGGACATGGCATCCATCCAACGCATCTGGAAAGACCCTGCCTCCACGCGCCTCGATCCACTCGCCGCCGCATCCACATCGATTAATACTACTAGTAGCACTACTCGTCGATCGCCCACCGCATCCGGTAGCCACAAACTCTCGGATTCCAGAACGCTACACGACTTCACCCACCGCCTCAACTCCAGGAATTTCTCGAATCCGTTTCAAGGTTTCCGACTCAAAACCATCCCAAGACCTCTCGCCGGAGGCTCAACAACCACACTGTCCATTCCCCGTTTCTCTTGCCGTTTCGACCATAGTATAGTCGATCCAATCGCACGCCGCTGCCTTGACTGAAATCGCACAACTGCCAGTGGAAATCGCACAACTGCCAGTGGAATCGTCATGTCGTCCGCGTCGCATCGCATGTCGCTGACCTGCGCCGCCTCCCCGCCGCACGCGTTCCTGTTGTCTCCGTTTGCCAACTGCATTCCTTGTCTGTCCGATGGCACTCGATTCAGCGCAATCGACGGAGAACCCGCGTTTCCCTGCGAGGCTTTGGGAACAGCTGCTAGTGGTGGTACCGCGACTGCCGACGTGACGCTTGAGGATTGGTTCGACGAAGTAGCGGCGTCAGTGGTGCAAATGATACCAAGGGTGGTGGGGCAGAAACAGCAGCAGTGGCTGATGCGGCTGTGGTTCAACGATGCTCCTCATAAGCTCGTTTCGCCCGCATTCCCTCAAGTAAACCAAACCAACCAAGTCAACCAAGTCAACGCGTTCGAAGCAGTCCATGTTGTCAACGCCTTTGACCTATCGAGCACGGTAATACTGTCGATGCAGTCAATGCAGTCAACGCAGTGAATGCAGCATTTTGAATCAGGACCTGCTGACTCCAACCTCACATTCCGAGCCTCGGGGTCAGCTCCGGAAGGCCGCCATTCAGGTATGCTCGCGCTACCATGGATTCCCCCCACCCTGATCTTCCCACCCTGATCTTCCCACCCTGATCTCCCCACCCTGATCCCCCCACCCTGATCCCCCCCTGCCTTGTATTCCCTCATGTTTCCTCTAATTCTGAACGTTATCCGTTTGCCTCTTGCCCTCATCTTCAGCGTCTGTGCTCTGCTTTTCTTTCCGCCCTGCATCACACCTCTTGTCCACCCAACTGTGTAGGACGCCGCGGACATCGAGGCAGCCCGGAATGAGGTGGCATGCATAGAGGAGTTGAAGGGCCACCTCAACATCATTCGAATCAAGCAGGCTGCCGAGGCGCAGAGGGTAAGTTACCCTTGTCCATTGCACTTTGCCCCTTCATGAGTCTTGACCTGCATCAGTCTTCCATACTTGACGTTTAATACATGCCCTTCTGTTGCCATTCCTGACCGACTCTTACAAACTCACCCTTCTGCTTCTTTTGTTTCACTGACAAAGCAAAGCAAGAGTTAGCACGCTCCCGTGCTCGTTACTTTCAGATTCCTAGCACGCTCACACTTGCTTTGCTCTGTTTTCCTTTTTCCGATCACTCATGCTGGCCTTGCAGCACTGCCACTCGCATGCCATCGTGCACCACGATGTCGAACGTGAAAACGCCCTTGAATTGTATCATGTTAATAATGAGGATAACGTACAAGCTAACATTGATGGCTGCGAAGCCAAGCTGACTGACTTTGTTGCTAAGCACACTCATGGTGTTCCATTATCATAGGTCATGGGCACACCAACCTACATGGCTCCAGTGGTATTTTTTGAGTCGTACGGCCCTGAATGCGATGCCTGGAGTGCTGGGGTCGTGCTCTTCATAATGCTCCGCAACTCGTCTCTCTTTTTTTGGCAATGGCACCAGTAGCGATAGCAATAGCAGCAATAGCGGTGTGAAAGGTGGAGGAAACAGAGCAGAAGAAACAGTAGCACTGATGGAAGAAGCAGCAGCGGTTGCACTGGTGTGTAATGGAGGGTGGTGGAGGTGAAGAAGAGGGGGTTCAGCTACAGCCGGAGGTGGCAGGAGCTGTCGTCACCAGCCAAGTATCTCATCATTCGCATGCTCCCTAGGAGTCCCAAGATCCGATTCAGCATCATAAGATGACCGGTACGTTGAAACTTCATTTTCCTTTTTTTTGCGTGTTTTTTTTAAGGGATTTCCTCCTTATTTGTGAGCAGGAAGAGGTGCATCTCCTCAATATTTTGAGTTCTCTGCTGACACAGTTCTCAATAATGGTGCGCAAATAATATCGCCACTCTATCAATATGATTTACGATGCTTTATGCACGGCCTTGGTTTAAGGCCCATTGAGTTGACAAAAGTATTTTAGATAGAAAGGTATATGCATTATGTAAAGCTCTGTACCTGCAATCATTATTTACAACTAAGTTACACATGCTTTCTCTCTTATTGTTACTGTCCGCGATAGTGCAATCCTCGCTCGCTCTCGTAACACAACCGCATCACTCAACCCGAAGCAGCCGCCCCATGAACCCGAACCTGCTCTATGTTTTTCCTTCCAACAAAGCAAACAACGTCAGTGTCCTCTCGAATACGTAATTGCGCATTGCCTAGCAGGCAAGGGCGTTCACTGGCATTCAGTATCGTATCGTCTAAAGAACCGTCACAGAGTGACTCCGCACTTCAATATGGTTCGCCAGCGAGGCTCGTTCGCCGCCCCATTCTCAGCAGTTACCGTTCCGAGTGCGAAATGTAGGAAAGTCGGAAATGCGGAACTATGCTCCTTTTCTTTTCCTCGTCTGCGTTGGCCCTCTCGAAGTGTAGTCACACTTAGTGCACTCACATGGGCTCACCCAGTGGCAATTCTTCCTAAGAGTTATGCACGAAGCTCTATAGTACATACTAGTTCTTCGCAGCGCTAAACTCGTAAGTTTCGCGCTTAGTGTACAACGTGTAGTAAACGCTTCGCCCCAGCATTCTCCACTGGCAGTCGTTCGCGGCTTGCTTACATATTCCTTCCCATCACAACGTTGGGTCTAATAAGCACTTTTCTTGACTATTAGTGGACAGCGCATCATACATGATTGCGACCTCACTTCGAGGAATTTCCCATGATGTGGCAATACACGTGTACTTGAATGTAGCCACTGCACAGTGGTACTGTAGCCGAGAGTCTCCAAGTCTGTCCGATTCGTCACCACAGGCTGATAAGGTGACGGGACTCGTCAAGAAGACTCGTGAAATCTGGGGTGACGTGTTGTGTCTTAGCCTCAGGTGAACATAAAGAGCGGCCCGCACGACTGGTGATAAGCTTTACCAATAGGACCGTTAGAAATTGCTCCGCCTATGGCTGGCAGCGCTTGCGGGGGGGAGTCCCATTCCCGCGAGTCGCGCGTCACATCCCTCCGAGGGTCTTTCCCCCCGGCCCCACCCCCGACCCGCGTGCTTCCCTTCCCCCCCACCCCTCTGACGTCCCTCAAATTATCGGCGCTGACACACGTGTACATTAGAGGCATTACACCGGTTGATACGCGAGTCGAGCCCACATTGGCAACTTACCGCTGAGGGCATTGACGCCGCGGCAGCTCCCTGAATGGTTTCCCGGGCCGGCCCTTTCGCGTCAAGAGGAACGAGTCTCCTCTACGTGGCATTTACAATACCTCCCGCATCACCTACACGTACCTCGATTGGTACTACGAAATGCAGTCGCCGCTAGGGAAAATTTCTAAAATTTCTAAATTTTCACCAGCTTCTTCATAGTCTTCACAAATTCACCATGACTCCCCCACAGCTGCGACGGTCGCAGCTCAAGGCATTCCCCCCCCTCTCCCTCTGTTTTGACTACTGGTTGCGATCGCGCACCGTTTCAACTACCCATCATCTCGTCGAAGTTGGAATCATCATGTCACCCACGCCGCATCTCACGATGACGTCGCATCCGCTACGGATGTCGCCATTCCTAAGAGCTGCCGAAGCCCCATGACCATTACAATCTGCACCCTCACAACCGCTCTCCACTTCCCCGCCTCCCCTTCCGCTGTAACACTCGCGTTCTCTTCCCCATTCCGTTCCGCAGCCTTTTCTTCCGCCGATGGAACTTCCGCCTCCTCTTCCGCCTCCCCTTCCGCCTCCTCTTCCCCCTCCCCTTCTGCCTCCACGTGGCCGCGTGCATTCCCGGTGATGTCTCCTTCAGTCGTCCCCATCCCGTGTCCCTCCGATGCCGCTGCGGCACGATGCAGCGCAATCGACGGAGAGTCGTTTCCTGCGGTTCCCTCAGTTCCCCGCGGGGTCGTTACTAGCGATACCGCGGCAGCTGACGTGTCGCTTGCTGATTGGTTGAACGAAGTGGCGGCGTCGAAGGTGCAAACTGCACCAAGGGTGGTGGTGCAGAAGCAGCAGCAGCAGCTGATGCGGCAATGGTTCCGCAATGCTCTTCATGGGCTCGTTTCGCCCGGATTCCCTCAAGTCAACCGAGCCAGCCAAGTCAACCAAGTCAACACGTTCAAAGTAGTTCATCAACAGAGTCAATGTAGTGAGTGCAACCGAATCAATGCTGATTCGGCCAGTGGGTGAACTTCAGCGGCAGTCGAGATCGCTGCCTACAAGAGCATCCAGAAGGACGCGTTTCAGGTGTGATATCCTTGCCATAAGCATCTTCCTAACCTGACCTCCTTGCTCTAATGCCCCTGCCTTGATCCCCCTGCCCTGTTTTCCCTCCTGTTTACCCTGATCTGTGTGCCCTGTTCCCCCTACCCTGATCTCCCTGCTCTGAATTCCCTGCTCTGAGCTCCTTGCTTTGAACTCCCTACTCTGAACTCCCTGCTCTGATCTCCCTGCTCTGATCTCCCTGCTCTGATCTCCCTGCTCTGAACTCCCTGCTCTGATCTCCCTGCTCTGAACTCCCTGCTCTGATCTCCCTGCTCTGAACTCCCTTCCCTGATCTCCCTGCCCTGTTTTCCCTCCTGTCTCCTCGCCCCTAAACCCGTATCCTTTTTTCTCGCCGTCATCTTCGGCACCTGTGCTCTCCTTCCTTTCCGGCCCAGTTTCGTGCTCCGTGTCTACCCAACTATTGAGATTGTTGCTGACGTGGAGGCAGTGCGGAATGAGGTAGCATTCGCAGAGGAACTCAAGGGCCGCAACAACATCCTGCGGATCAAGCAGGCTGCTGATCCAATTGCTCATGCTGGCCTTGCAGCGCTACCTCTCACTGTATCGGCCACCTCGACATCAAACTGGGAAAATCTTTTTATTGAATCATGCTAAAAACGAGGATAATGTAGAAGCCGACTTGAATAGCTGCCAAGTCAAGCTGATTGGTTGTGGTGAGGCCGCCAGGCTCACTGGATGTGTTCTTTTTTCTCAAGATGGTGGATACACCATTCTACATGGCTCCAGAGTATTTCCGAGTTGTGCGGCCGTGGATGTGTGGAGTGCTGGCATCGTGCTCTTCTTCTGTGAGCAGCAACATAAGCAGTAGACATACGTGTGAGGAATAAGGAGGAAACAGAAGCAGGAGCAGAGCAGCAGTTGTAGCAATGGAAGAAACAGCAGTAGCAGGTGGCAGCAGTTGTCGTCAGCATCCCATCACCAGCAGTAACTTCTTATTTGTGGGACTTAAACAGAGGAAGGAAGGGGTCCATCGCGCTGAGTTATCAGCTGACAAAACTTCTCCTCTGCTTGAAGCGTTGAGTGACCTTGCGTAAAAGAAGGGTTTATGATGTATAATTTAGAGTTGACGAAATGTTTGATTGTAAGGCAGATCCTTATCAATGTACCAGGCGTACAGTAATTAGTACTAATGAACGTCATCTTTGGTGCGTTGGGTGGAAGGTGCAAGGGCAATGAACCTTCGTCTTGCTTTCCTCCCCTCGAATCGCGCTGACGCACGAATGACGACATGCGAAGCCGCGCCGCAAGATACCTCACTTCGCCAGCTTCCTCACAATTCCTTGTCAGTCTGGGACTGTGGGTGGGACAGGCAGCGGACAGCCCATGCATGGGCCGCTTGGGTCGACTGATCATTACCTGCTTGATGACGGTACAAAAAGCGGCACAAGCAATCAGCGTTTCAAAGCAAATAAGTTTGCTCCTCCGACATCTGCTATTTGTCGCACAGCCTGTTCCTCGGGCACTCACTCAGTACTACTCGTAGATCAACTACCTGGCAGTGGCTCTCTCTGTTCAAACGCGATACACCTCAACCAAATCAAGTTCGAGCTTTTTACTGGAAGGGCAACACCCTCGTTGGAACCGAGCCGCGGCGAATTCACATCAAATGGCCGGCTTGAAGCTCTACGGCATGGGCTACTCGCCCTTCGTCCGCCGCGTCCTGCTCACGCTGCACGAACTCGGCATTGAGGTGCGACCTGCCGGGCCCCTATACAATACAAGCTCAATACAAGCTTGCCAATGCACATTTCCAGCGCGGCTAAAAGATGGGTCGCGTGATGACGTGTTACGACATGACATCCCCGTACGCGCAGTAGTGGGCTCGATACAATGACTGACGCAGTTGACAGCAAGATCAGATTTCCCGTACATTCCACCCAACTCGTCCTCCCCTTTCCCCAACTCGTTTCATCCCTTCATGTGCGCGCAACGCTCGTGAGCACGACTAGGAGTGGGAGCAAGTGGACCACTCCAACGGAGAGGCGCACTGGAATCACACTTGGTCCCGCGTCCCTCTTAAATCCCCACATCCCTCTCGGATACTACACCCCTGTTATTCCTTCACTACCTCTTCCTTCCCTCCTCCCCCCCCCCCACCTTCCCATTCCCGCATTTCCCCTCCCCTGCCCGCCCCCTTTCCAAAGCAGGACTACGAGTGGGAGCAGGTGGACGCCCCCAAGGGCGAGGCGCGCACGCCCGCGTACCTCGCGAAGCAGCCATTCGGAAAGGTGCCGCTGCTGGAAGACGACGGCGAGTGCATCTGGGGTAGGTGGATCTAGAGTAGGTGGATTCGGGGAAGGTGTTCCTGTAGAGTAACAGACATACGATCGCATGCAGGCCTGTGCGAAGGCAGTGCTTAAAGCACACGGCAGATGTACCTGGAATAGGTGGATTCGGAGAAGGTGACCTGGGGAGGGGACTGGGTTGGGTGATGGGTGATACGGTCCTTGAACCTGGGGACAGGTTCGGGGAAGCAGCCCTTTGCGACGGCGCCTCTGCTCAAAGCCCGCAGTAAGTGCATCTGAGGTGTTCTTACCTGGGTAGGTGCATCTGGCTATGCAGAGCACTGGATGGTCCGAATGAAGGCACGTGATTCAAATTCGTGTCGACGGAATAGGTGGATTGACGTGGAAGCACTTTCGTCACACCGTCGCGCCATTGCATCATGTCGAACCTCGCCGTCGATTCCTCGCGCCCAGGACGTCCTTGTCAATACGTGTTGAATTCGACTCGACTTGAATTCCTCGGAGGAGGGATCGAGACGTCGCGTTATTGATTATGTACGTTTTTTGGGTTCCCTTCAGCATTGTCCGTTATCCCCAAGTAGCTCCGTTTACCACCACTTACACCTAGTAGGCACTGCTATGGGTGGGTCCAATGCCTGTTCTCAGATCGCTCAGCTCTGGCGTGTCTTGACGTGGCCGTTTTTCTCCCAACTCCAGAGTCTCGAGCCATCATGCGCTATCTCGCCGACAAGTACGGCGCGGAACGCGGAGTGAACCTGCTGGGAAAAGACGCGTTGGAGCGCGGCCGCGTGAACCAGTGGATCGAGACGGAGGTCAACGCGTACACTCCCGAGGCCGTCACGATCGCGTCCGAGCGAGTCTTTAAGAAGTTTCGTAAGCTCGGCGAGCCTGACGAGGAAAAGGTCGCCGCGGCGACGAAAAAGGTGAGGCGTCGTTTCTTCTGTTGCGGCATGAGACGTCCATGGGTGAAGAGTCTAGCTTCTCGTTCAAGGCATCGCCATCACTTCTTGCAACTTACGGCTTGCCTTGCGACGTCTCTTCTCAAAGGGAAAGGCGAGATTTCAAGAGTTAGGACGTGCGCAGATGCCAGCGAAATTGGCTGACTTGGGTAACTACTAATCCTACATTACAGTAATTACTCTTTCTGTCTGTCTGTCATCCGTCCGTCTCCTTTGCAGCTGGAGAAGATCCTGGATGTTTACGAGAAGCATCTCGAAGGGCGCGAGTATCTGGTGGGCGACTCGTTCACTCTCGCAGACCTGACACATCTGCTGGTAACAGAGCACCTCAAGATGGCGGGAGTGGGAGATTTGTTTGATTCCCGCCCAAATGTGAAGGCCTGGCTCAGCCGCCTATACTCCCGGCCTTCTTGGGGGAAGGTGAATGAGGTCGCGCCACTCCCAACAATTTGAAAGTGTACTCGTTATATATTGCCTTCAGTCAGTTACTACTGCGGATGTCTACGCGTTCATAATGTAATGAGAAAAAAATCCCTTCAGTGCTCATAACATATCTGTGATATTCAGGATGCAGATAGCTATAGTCTTCATTGCAGAAGAAGAGCCATAACTGAATTACTGATGCTCATTAGTGAAGACATTAACCAAAGGCACTTCCTTCAATAGCCCAGCCTACATAACCACATAACACAAATCTTATCCGGCTATCACATTTATTGGACGCGTGTGAAAGGGCTCATCCAAATAAACCCCATCGTGGTACTACACTATGCTCAAGTTTCGCATGCTACAATCCCTTGCTTGCCTCCCTGTGATCCGCCCCCACTGCATCTGCCACTGACTCAAATCCATCGCGGGCGAGGCACTCCGCCAATTCTTTCTGCGAATTGTGAAGGCCCAAGTTGGAGAGGAGAGGGGACAAGTCGAAGGAGGGAGAAAGATGGGGGGAAAGATGACACATGGAGAGAAGAGGATGGGTTCACATGTGAGCAGCATGTGGAAACAAAAAGTAGTGAGCAACCTCTTATGGCAATGATGGGTTGTGAGCAGCAGGTGGTGATGTGTTATGTGGACAGCGCCCACTCCGCTGTTCCTTCCTAACTAAAAAACTTGACACAGATCCAGGAAAGGACAGATCCGTCCTGAGCCCACTGCAGCTTGACTTTCTTAGACACAATAGATTTGCTTGACTTGCGTTAACTCGGTTTGACTCACCTTCAGTTGGCTTGACTCATCTGAAACTTCGGCACCACTCCAGCTCCCTAAATCCGCGCATTGAGGTGTACACAGCTGGACCAATAAGTCCCCTGCCCGGAACTTCCACTCCAGCTTCCTCAAAAGCTCAGCTGATTTTATTTCTCCCACATTGATGTGGTTCGACTCATGTTGACTTAATTTCCCTCACCTTAATTTGGTTTGACTCATGTTGACTTTTTTTCCCTCACCTTGATTTGGTTAGACTCATGTTGACCTTATTTCTCTCACCTTGATTTTCGGCACCACTCCAGCTCCCTCAAAGACCATGGAGGTGTACAGCTGGACCAAGGAGGCACCTGCCCGGATCTTCTTATAAGCATCCTCGCCACTGTATTAGGGACGCAGGGGAGTAATGGGAACGAAGAAAGATACGCTAATGAATAACCCTTTTATAAGAAAGAAGGCAAACATGTCATGAGGTGCCTTGGTCGGGTTAGGACAGTAGGGAGACCAGGGGAAATGAAGAGCCCAGGTTGATTTAAGGGGTAAAGAGAGTTTTGAGACGTCTCAAAAAGCAGGGTTGTGAGTGGGGACCGGAGAAAATTACGAGCATAAGTTGATTCAGGGGATAGAACGAGGCGAAGATGTTATGGTGGTGGGGCAAGGGTAACTTGGATGAGAAGAGAAGGCGGGTAGGGAGAGGGATGGGAAGAGAGGTGTAGTGAGAGAGGGAAGAGGGGAAGGGGGAAAGAGAGAGAAAATGGAGTATGGGGCGGAGAGAGAACGAGTGTTGGAGAATGGGAGGGTGAATGGGAAGAAAACAGGAAGGATTGGGACGGAGGACAAGGGAGATACCTGTAGATGCCCCCACAGCCGATGATGGGGATTTGACCCTGATAAAGGAGAGGGCGAGAGGAGGAGGGGGAAGATTGGAGGGATATAATGTGAGAGATAGAGAGAGGGAGAGTGCAGGGAGAAAATGAGGATTTGTTCAGGCATCTACATTATCGGCTCATGATAGCAGCATGATGATAGCAGGAAGGCCTGGAGTTTTATGAAGAAATGTACAGAAGCAACAGCTAGAAAACGGAATGAACAACAGCACAAGAAGATGCATAAATTGATGATAACATTAAAAAAAAAAAAACTAAAGTTAATTGTATTTTTATATATACATGTGTGTGTGTGTGTGTGTGTGTGTGTGTGTGTGTGTGTGTGTGTGTGTGTACGTATATCAATGTATTAACGCACCTTAGTGAGCGAGTACATCTGGCGCAGCACAGCAGTGGAGAGCTCAAAGAGCGGCTTGCCGCTGAGCCCCCCCACCTCGTCCGCATTCACCACGCCCAGCACGCTGTCTGGCCGCGAGATGGTCGTGTTGCTCACCACCTGGTGTGGGTGAAGGGGGGTGGAGAGTGGTGGGGAGGGGTGGGGGTGGAGATATGGAAGGTGGTCCCCCACCTCATCCGCATTCACCACGCCCAGGACGCTGTCTGGCCGCGAAATGGTCGTGTTGCTCACCACCTGGTGTGGGTGGGGAGTGATGGAGAGGGGCGGGGAGGGGCGGAGACGGGTGGAGAGCGGTGGGGAGGGGTGGAGGTGCGGATATGGGAGATGCCCCCCCACCTCGTCCACATTAACCACGCCCAGGATGCTGTCTAGGCGGGAGATGGTGATGTTGCTCACCACCTGGTGGGTGTGGGGAGGGATGGGGAGAGGTGGGCAGGGGTGGAAAGGGTTGGGAAGGGGTGGGGAAGGGTGCAGATACTGAAGATGCCCTCCCACCTCGTCCGCATTCACCACGCCCAGCACGCTGTCTGGCCGCGAAATGGTCGTGTTGCTCACCACCTGGTGTGGATGAAGGGGGGGTGGAGAGTGGTGGGGAGGGGTGGGGAGTGGTGGAGAGGGGTTAGGGGTGGGGTCGGATATTGGAAAAGCTCCCCCACCTCGTCCGCATTCACCACGCCGAGGACACTGTCAGGGCGCGAGATGGAGGGATAGGAGGGAGGGTTCTCCACTAGTCCTGCATTCACTATTCATGGGTCGGCTCAGAATTCATTCCTAGGACCACAAGGTGGAGATAAATCAAGTAAAATAATTGTGTTTTCTGAGAGAAACGCCACTTACCTTGCACTCCATCCTCAGTATAAACTCACTCGCTAGCACACCAGTCCATCAATCTTGGGAAAGAGAGTGACGGCAGGAATATCCGACATATTTTCTGTGATCAGGAAAAAGGGTTAAATGTCAGCAAAGACTCTCCCAACACACACCATCCTCACTATAAGCTCACTCGTTAACATACCAGACCGTCAATCTTGAGGGAGAGGGCGACGGCAGCAATGTCTGACATATCTTCGGTGGTGAGATCAGGGGCGATCTTGAGCAGCAGCGGGGGCGGACCCTCCTTGCCCCACTCCATCTCGTTCCGCGCTGCTTGCACCTGGCAGGGAGGGGTCAAGTCAAAGAAAGAGGGCAGGGATGTGACGTGTGAGTCGACGTGTGGGCAGGGCTCTTGAGTCAACTGACATGTGCTGTTGTACCTGGCAGATGCCAAAGGAGAGACACCAAGAGGTCATGGGCGTTACGAGGACCGTGTGAGATGAGGAGGCAGGAGTGCTGTGGGCTGTAATCGACCAACAAGCTGAGAAGCAGCAGAGTTGGAAGGATCTATCGAACCCTCATCTGTAAAAGAGTTCTACGGAGGAGCACGTTGGATTTGCAGTTAGTCCAATTCCTCTACTCATCCACCAGCCAATCTATCCCCACTTAATTACCCTCCATCCATTATATTACCCACTTTCACACTCTCCTCCAACTCACCCAATATTCCCCCACTCACTCACTCTCTGTCAACTCACTCACCCCCTCATTTCCTTATTCCCCCCTCACCCCCAAACCCCACCCACTCACCCGCTGCAACAGCTCCTGCAGTTGCGCCCTTCCCTGCAGCTTCCTCAGCCCGGGCGTGTTGGGGGAGGACACATTCACCACCAGCACGTCAGCAAGCTGCCCCAGCGCGTGCACGCCCGTCACATAGTCCGCGGCGGCGTCCTCACGCGGCGTGTTCGTCCCCAGGTTCACCGCCACTACTCCGTCCCGCACTCTCTCCGCCACCACCTTCTCTTTTTTTGGTGCCTGCCCGTCCGCTGCCCGTTTCTGATCTTGTGCTGCCTGCTGCTGCCGCCGAGCCTGCCACGCGCCGAGCCTCTCCGCCACGTCAGCGATGCCCACGCTGTTGAAGCCGTAGCGGTTGATTACAGCCCTGAGGGGTTGAAGGGGCGGGGAAGAGGGAGCAAGGGGGTTGGGGGGACGACAGGAGAAGTGAGAGACGATAAGAACGAGGGTGGATATCCCACGTCAGCAATGCAGGGGGGGCGGGCCCGGGCAGGCAGGTGGGTTGGGCTTCATGGTTCAGGGTTTGGGTTTTAGTCATCAAAGCACTCACTTCTGCTCTGTCAGCCGAAAGCATCTGGGCTTGGGGTTGCCGGGTTGGGGAAGGGGCGTGAAGCTGCCAATCTTCGTTAATCCTAGGCTGAGGGCGAGCATGGAGTCCTCACAGCGCGCGTCCTTTTAGAACCACTCTAGGGTTGATGGTTTAGGGTTTAAGGCAATTCAAGGCACTCACTTCTGCTCTGTCAGCCGAAAGCATCTGGGCTTCGGGTTTCCCGGTTGGGAAAGGGGCGTGACGCTGCCAATCTCCGTGAACCTGAGCCCGAGCGCAAACATGGAATCCACGCAGCGCGCGTCCTTGTCAAACCCCACCGCCATTCCCACAGGGTTGCTGAAGCGGCGCCCCGACACGGTGGTGGCGAGGGAGGGCCAGACAGGCAGGGGGTTCAGGGTTCAGGGTTTGAGGGTTTAAGGCACTCACTTCTGTTCTGTAAGCCGGAAGCAGCGAGGTTTGGGGTTGCCGGGTTGCGGCAGAGGCGTAACGCTGCCGATCTCGGTAAAGCCCAGCCCAAGTGCGAACATGGAGTCAACGCAGCGCGCGTCCTTGTCAAACCCCGCCGCCATGCCCACGGGGTTGCTGAAGCGGCGCCCCCACACGGTGGTGGCGAGGGAGGGCGGGTCGGGGCGGTAGTCGCGCGGCGTGAGCCCCCACTCCCCCGACAGCACGGCCAGCTGGTGCGAGGTCTCCGGGTCGAGCAGACGGATGAATGGCGTCATGTAGTCCGTCGCCGCGAAGGAGAGCGCGCTGGGTTGGGCAGGGGGGGAAGAGGAGGAGGGGAGAGAAAAAGGAGCCTCACGAGGGG